GAGGATGGCGTTTTTCTCTTAAGCAGTGAATTTTTAAATCATACTTTTCCCTTCTCATTTCTGGTATGCTCGTGTGAATTTTTCTTAATCGTATCCGTTCTCATAGAGTGATGAATGACGATGAGGATGGCGTTTTTCGTTAGCAGTGCAGTTGGTAAATCATGGCAAGTGATGGCATTTACAATTGAGATCACGATTAGGATGCACGGAATGTTGGCACTGGATGCAACGACAATATTCTCGAAAAATCTGTCAGAAACGAATGGAGTATACAGAGTACTGAACACATCTAATAATGAATAATCCTTTCATATGTATGATTACAAAGGTTTCTTCAAAGCCAAAATATAAGATTGCGAAGTAACTGGGACACATACACAGACTTCTACATCTACTTGTTTAAATCATCTGTAAAATTTCATGAGATGCTACGGTATAAGTACCATAGGTAGGCATAGTTTAAGAACAATGCAATCATGAGAAACTATTCTTCATTCAACGTCTACAAATCAATCAGTTATGCATGAAATTTTATCGATAATGATAGAAAACGAAAAACGCGGCGCATAACAGAGAATGTTTTAGGGGGTAACTAATAAAAATATCTGAAAAACGTATGCGATACCGATAACGGAAGAAGGAATCGGCGGTACATTTTGAATAAAACCAAAACGCTTCTCCTATCCATGAAAATTCGTAGAGCGCAGATTCTGGTCGCTGCATTGGCAACTTGCGTAATAATTTCTGTGGGAAAAGTTAAGAGGTGTTGACTGCATTCGTTTAATATTGCGCTGCAAGATATTCTCTGTAGATCTCATCTCTCCCAAGAATATAATCTCAGAAGCCTGAGAGTTGTAGCATAAAGCGCTATGATCGGATTTCGGGAGAAAAAAATCCTATGTGGTCCATACAAAAAAAAATATGCAAACAAGGACTGCGCTTGGACACAGGATGTACTGGCATTATACTTGAACATGTATGTGTGTGTGCATGTGAGCATGTGTGTGTGTGTGTGTGTGTGTGTGTGTGTGTGTGTGTGTGTGTGTGTGTGTGTGTGTGTTTGTTCACGCACACACATAGAGATAGAGGAGATAGATATAGATATAGATAGGTAGGTAGATAGATATGTATGGATAGATAAATATAGATTTATGAATGAAGATTCTTATAGGTAGATAGATATACATATACACAAATATATAGATATGCAATATATGTGTGAGAGATATGAACATCAATATTTTTGCAAAAGAATAGACACTGTTCTTGAGAAATATATCATAGTATAGACGCCTCCGTATCCTCTATTGTATTTAAAAAAAAATCTCGGTAGTCCCTACAAAATCAGAAATACCAACAAAACCAACAACTAACATATCATTCTCCACATATTAGCACCTACATCACCATACTCATCTCGCAAGCATACGCTACAGAACACCTTACAAAATCAAAAGTGCAATCTTGCTCCAAATCACTTTCTCAAAAGATTTGTTTTGATAAGCGGTTGGCAGCCCTGATTGCTATTTCTGAGAGCTAAGTAGTTATCGAAGGAGAGTTCAGGCGAAAGGCTGTGGGCGTGTCACCTCTTCCTACAAAAATGTCTAAAGCAGCGAGAAAGGCGTTGGACGAGGCGAGGGAGACTGGTAATCCCGAGCTAGACTTACAGGAGAAGCAGATAACCTCCTTAGAAGAGCTCCCTGGACTTTGTAAGTGGGAAGAAAAGAGTGTTTCCTAACCAGGTGTAGCAGTGGCTATGCCCTTTTCCTTTTCTCTCGCTCGGTTTGCTCACTCGTGTTTCCTTTTTTCTCTTTAGGAAATGGTGGTATGGTAATTAAAAAGGAGTCTGTGTGTATGGTTTTGTAATTTACTGTTACATATAAATGGGTATTTTACGTAAAGGTGAAACTGTAACCTATATATATGTGTTTAATTATGAGGGTGTGACGCCTCTGTTAAACCCTGTTGTGAGTCATGAGTTAAGAATATGCCATTATAGGTCTCTTGTATTAACTCATTACTCAGCTTATTTAGGCTGGCTCTGAAACGTTTGAAGGCTAAACCTGTCCTGTTTTTTTAAAGTTTAACAAAATCATGAGTATGCATATTAATGATAGTCTTCATTATCCAAGCTGTATTTGTGTATTCCATAATATTTTTTATATTACGTCCGTTGATTAGACATCGATGACTTTGGTATCGCTAGATTCCTCTCACTCTATGCATTGCAAATATGTAGGTTTTATTGCGCAGAAACCCCCGTTAGCGTCAAACTTGGACCCGATAGCAGGGGAGGGCATGAAAGGTTCCAGGGAAAATTACCGTTTTCATGTTATTCAGCACATTCTAGGTAAGAATTATAGAAGAGGTCTATCATCATATTTGGTAATTTACCAGAATAGGACAGATTCAGTGGGTTTACAAACAGGTTTTTAGGAGAGTGAGAGTGTGTGTGAGTGTGTGTGTGAGTGGTGTGTGTGTGTGTGTGAGTGTGTGTGTGTGTGTGAGTGTGTGTGTGAGTGTGTGTGTGTGTGAGTGTGTGTGTGTGTGTGTGTGTGTGTGTGTGTGTGTGTGTGTGTGTGTGTGTGTGTGTGTGTGTGTGTACAGCCATCCAACCTTGCAATTATTCATCCTTGTTTCAGTTATCCACATGGTGAAGTGCTTAAATCTTTTCTTGTCTTTTATCGCAAATAATATAAATGAAAGTATTGATAACTTTACAAAGTGACCATACCCTTCTGAAACTTAAAGTTCCCGGTATAAGTTACTTATAGCAACGCGTGGAAGTGGAAATAGAGGGAAATGGACACTGGCAAATTTTAGAGTAGAAGAAATAGAATAGGACAACATAGTTTCAGCTGCAGCCAGATTGGAAACTTTGCAAAGTGCACAGCGGAGTTGTTGTTTAGAAGCAGAACCTGCGCAGTTATTCGTACAGATTGATACAAAAATGTACTTACCATTGTCAGGCAAGTTTTTATGAAATTGTTATTCTTTCTTGGTTCCAATGCAATTACTAACTGGCCACTCCTAGCACTCCTGTTCTATTCAAAACGTGTTTAAAGACATCGCTAACGCAAAGAGGTATGAACATAGCGCAGCAACAACATGGTTTATCAGCTTTGAGAATTCCTTCTGAAAAGGTGACTGAAACAATCAGATAGTAGAAATTGAATGTCACTATGTGTTCTCTGTGTTTTTGACCATCAGCCAGTCATTGGCTTCAATTCAAGGGATTCCCAATTCGTGGTTGCGCGTTGAGGCCTCCAGGTACTAAATGGCACGGCTGAGGGAAAAGAATTTGTCCAAATGGTGCGGCCAGAACCGCGACTGATATACCAAGTGTGCGGCAGATTTATCCGCCACGTACAGCTTTCTTGATATCAACTTGCTAAAGAAGTACTATAGATGAAAAGTGTCTTATTTTCTGTCATTCTATCCATTACAGGCAACATTTAGCTTGTGCCTTATGACTGAGTGAAACAAACTTAACAATTATTTCTTGTTTCCTTTATTCAGTGTAATATGTGTGAATGTGTTGTGTTCCATCGCAGATATTACAAGTCCTTATTACTCCAGCCACACCTGGGAATCTACAAACCTTGCTGCATGAACCAAAAACATTCCTAACCCAAGGACTTCACCCCTAGATGCCCACCCCTCTGGTGGGGCTTAGTCTCTGTGTGGCATTTGTTGCGAGCTATATTCTTTATTCTTTGCCTGTGTAGATTCTTTCATTTATCCGTCTGTGTAGTTTTTTTCTTTCTTTATGACAATATCATTAGATATCCCCTATCATAGGGCAGCCATTGTGTAAATGTATCCTAAAGCAGTTTATATTGCACAACTTTCTTATCAACAGGAAACCCTTATGTTGAAATGTTTCTTATATTTGTCATTCTATCCATTTGGTTGTATGAAACAAACTATACCCTTTATTTGTGTTATAACATTGGCTGTGTATTATCAAAACAAACAGTCTCTGATCTCTGGTGAAGGCCAGCAATTTGAACTACAATGGCTTATTGTCAAAGGAATAACCTGTCTGTGTGCCTTTGGTGCTCCAGTGAAGACAACAGACCTCCAACACGTTTCAAGATTTCAAGATTGAGCAATGGTTTCCAACCTTTTTACTCTCACAGGCTCATTCTCAAACTTTCAATGCCTCCCTAACATCAGCTATTCCATTTGTTAATTTTCTAATATATTTAGGCAGAGAAAGAAAATAGATAAAATTATTCAGCAATCTCTATAAACTTTATTTACCAAATGGTAAAACAATATTCCTTAAAGACATGGCTTCATAGTATATTCCTATTATAACCATTGACATATGTGTAATAAGATGAGAACAGTTTTAGTGCATTACAGTCAGACTGTCATGCATAATACCATAGGGAATTGATAGATTGATGAAATCTAAAACATTTTTCATTAATGATATTTCCTGCACAAATATTAATTTGAAAAACCTCTTTTGACCTTCATCCTTCACTGGTAGACAATCAATGGATGTGTTTTTGGTTAGGCTTAGACCATTCCAAGTTCTCTCGTGTCAGAATATATGTGGAGGATGATGACCTTAATGTCAAAATGTCATGAGGCACAGAGGCAATTGCAATTGTGTGCACAATCCACTATATAGGTGAACAGATCATTACAAATCACATAGTTTTTATTTGTCTTACATTAGGCACAAATTACATGTATTTTATACGTCTGGCCTCCCCCAAAGAAAAAACATGTCTAAATCTTGATTTCCCACAGGTTTCCCTAGCCTGTGGAAGGGGATTGTTAACTTGAAAACTAAAGGTTTACACAAAGTGAACACCATATTCATTTTGAGTTCATCCAACTATATGAGAAATAGAGATAGACCTTGGAATGTATGTTTATTCACCAGTGAATTACCAGGGAATTCAAGCTCAATCTTACCAGAATATATATGGTAAAGGTATGCTGACCTTTACCAAAAACCAAGGGCTTGAAAGTCAGTTGTGGACATGCAAGCATCTTACGAATATTTACCAGAAATAATGTAGGCATAATGGTAGTATTTTTCTGTAGAACATGATATCTGTGGATGATTACCATAGATCTTCAGGTAGTAACTACATCTGCTGCTACTAGTATCAGAAAATTATCAAGTTACAGTTTTTAATCCTAATTAGAATGTTGCTCCTAACCTGTCTCCTCAAAACCATTGAATTAGATTTAATTTGATTACACTCAGTCAGAATAGTATGATAAAAGAGTTAACCCCAAGCCATTGGGCATGGCATGTACGTTCATGCCATTGCCCATTGTGTGTGTTGAATTTAGTAATTTTTTTTTACATGCAGATGGCTCCGCAAGTACTAAGTCCCCAATGAGTCAATTACGCGAACTGCATCTCACCTGTTTACCCATTTCCTTGAGTTTCGATAATATTTTCTAATATTTAAAACTGCTGTTAGTAATGTCAGTAACAAATAGTAATTATAATTTTTAAACAAAAATAGCAGTGTCAATATTGATAGCATTAGTTAAAAAAAAAGCGTTTTCCCACTTTTTCAAGGAAAGGTGAGGTCGCAAGATCTACTAATTGACTCATTTGTGGCTAAACATTGGCAGAGCCATCTATGCGCAGAAACATTTAACCAAGCATTGCCAAAGGGAACACACCATTTTCCTGTTGACACTGAGTTAATTACAAAGTGATTATTACAGTTCCCTGTCCTCTGGCATGTCTTGGGTCTCCATGAACTTGCTGCCCCTCTGACTTTCCAAACATTTTAAAGGGAACTGTAGAGTTTGTTATAGGAACAGAAAAGGAATTATTTCAGTAACCCTTTATTGTTGGGTATAAGTAAACCTATGTACTCCCACAGCCACATTGCTTGATGCAAATTAAGATAATTCTTTGTAAATATGTATTTCTCATTTACGAGTTTGATATGTGATTATTCTTAATCCTAAGGATCCAGTTACTTCACTGCCTGCAAGTGGCCCAAAATCCAGGCATTAGGTGTATTTGTGTGAACAGTCTTATTAACATGTGGCTTTAAGGCCAGTTGCATATTAATTGTCATGGGTGGTGTCAAGACTCCTTGCCTCCCTTTTTCAGTATTATTTTCTTCTTTTTCTACATTTGAGTTTTTTCTTCTATTTTGTGGGGTCTATATTTATTTGATATGCTGTATATATATATGGTAATAGACCATTTTCCTTGCACAGTTTCCAAATCATCTTTCTAGGTCTGGGCAATATTAATAACAATAAGGAACGATTGTTTTTTCTTTTCTTTTTTATCCATAATACTCAGTCACATCACAGGGATCATAGGGGTTAATATATATAGAAAGATACATAAAAGATGAAAATTTACAAGCTGATGATCCACTCTAGTTAATAATATATTATGGAAAAAAGGAGTATCAGTGCTTTGACTTTGACCACTTTCATATTGTTGGTAGGTTCATACTAGGGTTATCATCAGTACAGCAAATGATACAAATGCAACGCCAGAGACATGATTTTGGCGTTGATTGGAGTTAGTAATCAATAATTACTTGTCTATTATTATGTAATGATTTATACAAAGTTTTAATACAAGTAATAGATTTTCAAATTCAATTTAAGTGCAGACATTATGGCTAATATGTAAGTTACATCTTAATCTGAAGTAAGGTCATGTAAGAAGAGGAGAGAATATGTAAATAAATGGAAAAGAAAAGAATTTAGAAATACTAGACATCTTTGTAAATAGAATGAGAACTTCCTTAGTATTGCAGATTATTATTCATGTACATTATTTTATTTAAAAGAAACAAATTGAAGAAAATGTCTAGCAATATTTTTTTCACAATAAGTCCATGAAAAGGAAATAACAAAAGAGTCAGAGATTATATGAAATATTTACAGTATGTATGTGCATATTTATAAATTATAAGCAGACAGATCATTTTCATTTATATCCCCCCCCCCATTCCTTGTTCATAGATTTTGTTGGAGAACTTAAAAGACTGAGACTGAGGCCCAAGGTAAGGGATTAGCCCTTATGAGAGCCCTGAAGGGTAGACCATTTCTTTCTCCCATTTTATTCAGGCTTACTATAGCCATTAATGAAGATTCTTTACCCTTTTCAGGAGCATTAAGGCTTGCCCATTCATCAACTAGCCTATCTGAATTTGATTTTGTTGGTTTTCTAATACCTACCCCTCCTTTGACCACGGCTCCTACCACTGATATTAATACTCCTTCCTCAATGTCTCAAGGCTTGCCCCGTCATCAACTAGCCTATTTGAATTGTTTTCATTGGTATTCTAACCCCCTAATACCTACCCCTCCTTTGACCACGGCTCCTACCACTGATACAAATACTGCTTTCTCAAAGTCTCTATCCATTTTGAACTACCCACCCAGGCCATTGCTGAACCTTCAGAGTGCACCCTTTCACTCCACACTACCCCATTTTCCTCCCTCCCTCATCATTTTAGTGTTTCAACCTCTGCAAACCTTTTGAGTACTCTCTTTGGCCCACCCAAATAGGAACGATTCTTTGTGATTTCCCCCATTTTCCTCCCTGTTAGTGTTTTTCTGTCATTGTGACTTGTCTTACTCTGTTGGACACTTGGCTCCATTTCCCTGTCCATCGTGTTCCCAGACTACATTACTCTGGACTGCGCTTGTGTGTTTTACTCTGTGACCACGGCCCCAGGTCTTTCTTCCTCTTTCTTGTACTGTTTTTCTGTCTCCTTCTCTTGTTTCTCTGGGACTTCCTGTTTCTCTTTTCCTCTCCGACAGCCAACTTTTCTCTTTTTCCGTCCACTCTGCTCCTCTCCATCTTTTTTCTGCATTCTCTTTTATGCATCTTTTCCGGACTTTTTCGTCTCCCCCTCTCCATCGAGGCTACTGTTCTTTTGCCTGTTCACTTGTCTTCCCTCTAGCCTCCCTTCTCCACCTCTACTCCCCTCCCACTTATCTCCTCCTCCTTCTCCAACAGTCATTACTGTTTCCTGCGGTCCCTCTTCCAGTCCAGATCCTGCATTCCCACCTCCTCCTTATTTTTACTCCTGTCTGCTCTACTTTTTTTCTCCTCCTTTTCCCTTTCACTGAAACTACTCCTAATGTCGCTCTCTTATTTTATTTTCATCTTTATCTCTTCTTTACCCTTTTTGCCACAATACTTTACCATAGTGTTATATGATCTTTATTTATATCAACCAGTAACTGTTAACCATTAAGCATTTTCCATATTGTGTAAATCAAAAGGTGATCTACTTAACCCTTTAGATGTGGGTGAGATGGTCATTTTCCAATGGAAAAAATTTAGCTGATAGGCATTTGCCTATCAGCTAAAGAAGTGGGTGAAGGATATGTCTTGTCAAGAGTACACAAAGGGCTTGAGTGAGATTGACTCGGTAGGCCTTCTGGAAGGGGCTTGTTCATAAGTTAATACAGAATTAGCCTGAGCCATACCCTGTCCATGTGCAGAAGCCAATTTCTGCCTATCATTATGAGCAGTATAAGGTCTGCTACAGAAATTTAAATAATACAAAAATATGAAAAATAGTACAAATAACACTGTTATTTCTTGTTGTTATTATTGCAGAGTGTAAACAGCCTGGAGAGATAATATGAAGTCTGCTCAATTTATACCATAACAAATGACAAATGCAGAATTCACAATATGGCAAAATTACAAGAAACAAAAAAATGGGCAGAGAGGATGCAAGGACCTTAAAGAGTCAGCACTCAAGAAAGCCTAATCTCTAAATTTTGGTCTATACACATGCTGCAAAGTGCACAGATCCAACAGGTTAAATATGTTCTGCCTCTTTTTTATACATACATACATTTGGTCTCTTTTCATGTATAAGAGTGTATACAATACTCTTGTTTACTTACATGTAATCTGAGGGGCAATTGAAAGCATGTATGTTATTGACTACCATATGTATAGACAAGAATAGATGAGTATGCACATACAGGGTATGCATTTCTTTTTATACAGATGTATGTACTTAAGCTTTACATAGATAAGAAAATGGATTTCTGGGAAAATGACACTTTTGATATGTATCAGAAATAGTTTTGACATTTTTACTAAATTTTTACTTACGACTTTTACAGTGTCTCTGGAGCACATTACTAGATTGACACTAACACATAATCGCCTGACTAAAGTTCCTGCAGCCATCGCAAATCTAATCAACCTAGAAATCTTGAATCTCTTCAACAACATCATTGAGGAACTGCCAACATCCATCTCTTCCCTCAACAAACTCCGCATTCTGAATGTTGGGTGAGTTTTTGTTTTTGTTTGAGTAGATTCATGAAAAGACTTTCATATTTTGTGTTTAGTGTTTCTATTTTTCATAAGTGGCAGAGATTTTTTAGATTTTGTTTATGATAATAAATAGATGAGCCTGATATAATTAATTTATTAATATATTAATATATGTAATGTGGAAGCAGTACACATTATCAAAACAAATAGTAATATTCCTATGATAGGTATGCTTGGTTAGATTTTGTACATTGATTATTTTTACTTTTTAATTTTTCCAAAATTTTTCCAACCCTCTCCCAGAATGAACCGATTGGATGAATTGCCAAGGGGATTCGGTTCCTTCCCTGTGCTGGAGGTCTTGGATATCACCTACAATAATATCTCGGAGGGAGATTCACTCCCAGGCAATTTCTTTATGCTAGGTAAGTTAAAGAACCTATAAGCTTTCATAGTTCTTTTTTTTATTTATTTATTTATTTATATATTTATTTATATTTTTTTTATGTTCCTGTGAAAGGCAAAGAGAAATGCAAAGTGTGTAGTGAGAATAATGGAGAAGAAAAATTATTAGTACTCACAGCTCCTTTCTATTGCCAACAGGTTGATATGTATTTATTGATTAAGAGGGGAGATTATTTTAATGTGTTAATTTCACAAGCAGATCCTAATAAATTGTCATTGGAAATGATGCCAGAGAGATTAAAATCATTTATAGTATGTACAGGTGCATCTACTAATTATTTACTCTTTTCTTCATGGCAGAGTCATTGAGGGCACTGTATATGGGCGACAATGATTTTGAGTACATTTCTCCGGAAATCAAGAATTTGAAGAACTTGCAGATTGTAAGTTATAATGTACCATATTTCTTGATATCTTTGGATTGAAATTTGTCTTCAGCACTGTATTGGACATAAAACCTTATAGATCTTTCCAAATCACAATTCAATATTTTAACAACATTTGGGTGCATATAGTAGCAAGGCTTGTTTCAACTTTAATCTCAATTATTCCCTACAGCTTTCCCTGCGAGACAATGACTTGATAGTGGTGCCCAGGGAAATTGGTGAGCTGACACGCCTAAGAGAGTTGCACCTTCAGGGGAACCGCTTGGAGGTTCTTCCTCCAGAAGTTGGTAAAGAACCCTTCTACAATTCCTTTTACTGCTGAGAATATCATAAGAAACAATGATAGGTCAGCCATATATGTAGTAGAGTATATTTTGAACCATAGGAAGTAAACAGGAATGATTTTATTGGTAAAGACAAGTGTGTAGAGCAATCAACCCTTTATCATTTTAAAACAAAGGCTTTTCTTATATCTAGGTCAACTGGATCTTTTGGGCACAAGATCTTGTTTGCGTCTAGAAGGTAATCCTTGGGTGCCAATGATTGCTGATCAACTCCTCCTTGGACCTTCCCATGTGATGGATATGCTGCGCAATGAATCATACAAGTTGTGAGTGTACATACGCAACATATTATGGAACATTTTGCAAGATAATTTAGTTGTCCTTAATAGCTAATAGATTACTTGAAGTATTTTCTCCACTGGGGCTTTCTGCTTTTAATTCAGTCATTTGATTTCATATATTTTATTGTGCTTATTGTTAAACCTGTGTTCTTTGAAAGGAGATTGTTACTGAGTTTCTTTGATGTCTGTCTATCCTTCCCATTTATTTAAAATCATTATATTAAATTATATCTATACTACCTATACAGTGTGTACCAGCGACACATCTCATCTGGAAGCCAGCCACCCCCAAAGAATTTTGAAGCCAAAAACAGGAAGATTTCAAGAAAGAGGGATGTAGCATAAGGTTTCCATGTACAAATGGTGCTCATCTTTCAGTACCTTGGATACTTTACTTTCTGAAATGGACCTTCATTTATGTTCCAGAGCTTTATAATGCATTAATACATGTAGCTTTAACATTTTAAATTTAATATTTAAAAAAAAATGCAAATTGTACAACATTGTACTGTTTTGATTTCTGGAATGCATTGTGCTTCAAGTAACTTGCCATTTTTGGGAACACTTTCTCTGTTCTGTTTAAAAATACATTTTGGATCATTTTAAAGTATATCATTCATGAAAAGTAGAGTAATATACTTTGATCATGCTGATTTAGTATTTAATACCTAGTTATAAAGATGTAACAAGGAACTTCACTACAAGGATATGTTAACATACTGCAAGTTAGGTTATTTACCTAATTATACATTGAGGTCTGAACAAAATAGTGCTTGGTGTGAAATACTCCATAATCCAATTTTATCTTTTACAGGAAGATAAATAGATTCTCATATACCTTGAGCTAAAGCAATTTCTTAAGACAGGTATTGATTTGTGTCAAAATTAAAATAACAGAAAATGATAAATGATGACATTCTTTAAATAGTTCATGCAAATATTCTAGATTCTTCTCTTATATTAGGTATGTTTGTACTAATTGAATATACAGTCCATGTCTGGTTTATATCCCATTCATGTAAAGCAGTTAAAGAAGTTTTCAAGGAATAAAAATGCTAATGTGACGTGTGATTAACCAGTAATGTTTCTTAACTTGTTAAATTTATTATTGAAATGTGTTTGAATGGTGCTTTCATCCCAAATAAAAGATAATTCCATGAAATCCTCAAAACCTTCGAAAAGTGTTGCACTTCCTAGAACTTTGTGCCTTTTACATCATCATGTTAGCAGTGCCTTTTACAAAAGATGTTTGTTTGTGATTCAAGGAGACCCTATTCTGAAACTTTTTATATGGTCTATTTGTTATTAAAGTAAAAGCTTCTTCTTATTGTATTTTTAAAAATGTATGAGTATTGCTATCATTCATGTACAGATTTATACTACTATTATGATTTTTTTTCTTTTTTTATCACTTCCATTTTACATACAGTATTACTTGAAAGTGCACAAAATAAAGCCGTATACCAGTATCACATGGTATCAGAAATGACGACAAGATTATTAGTTATACCAAATGTGTTCAAGATAGTCTAATAATCATTTGTTGGTTTTACCCAATTTTCTTGATTTATATTATATGCTCTCTCTATTTTTGAATAAATTTGTGAGAAAACACAAATGCATCAAGAATGTTAAAAATTATTGCAATTATTAAAATTGTAAGTTAGCCCCAGATTATTCAGGTAAATCTGCATTCAAGTTATTTTGCTGGGAATCCAAATTTACAAATTGTTATATGGTGGCAATTGATATATCAACGGTTGTGCAATGATATTAAAATTATTTTAATGAAAGGTCAAAGGTGATACACCAGGTTTTACCAAGAGACTACTGTTGAGATTTTTTCCCAGTTTTCATCAGTATTCACTAGTTTGCTTCTATTGTTACAAAATGTATTTTAATAATGCATAAAAAGTGCCAAAGTAAATTTACTAAAATATATATTTATTTTATTATCCATTATTGTTGTTACTGTTAATTTGGAAATATTTGCTAGTGTCCTAAAAAGAAAATTAGCAGAGGAACAAACATTTTCCAATGGTGACATGGAAAGACTGGAAAACTGTGCCAGGATTTGGCAGTTAACTAAATTTGCCTGGCAGAGTAGTCTATTCATACCCGGAGCAACTAGTCGAACTACCAGGTAGACAGCCTTATCTGTCTACATGGTACTCTGTTAGTTTGCCCGTCAATTTTGCACAAACTAACAGACATTGAGTAAGAGCTCAATTATGTGGATGGGACTTCAGACACCTTACCAAGGAGAAAATCCTTGCTTAAGGGCTTGACTTAACTTCAGTCAAACTGATTAAGCTGAACTTTGCTTATACACATACAAAAGATAGTAAGATATGGGATTAATCACTGATAGTTAAAACAAATAAATGAACCGACATTAAAAGTCAGAGCACCATGAAAAACTACTGGAGTGAAAAGGTAAAGATGAGAAGCAAATAAGAGTAAAAGGGGAAGGGCAATCAAATGGAGGATCTTTATGCATCAGAGGAAAAGGGGAAGACCACTGAAACGGAGTCTCTATGCATCAGAGGAAGAGGAACAGTGCAAAATAGCTATTGTGAATCAATCGGTAGTAATAAGGGTAGAGATGGGTGTTGGAGAAGTAGTAGGACACCAGGAAGGAGATAAGGGACCAGGGAAAGGTGAAATATCAGGAGGGGGAGTCGCACGAGTGTCCAGGAGTGAGCAGAAGGAAAAATGGGGTAGATGTAGAGATCTTGGGAAGAAGCGAGAGGAGTGGAGCAAACATTAGCACTGAAATAAGTAGAAAGAAAAACTTCATTGGTGTGCTTCCTGTCTGTGAACTGCTACCTTAAATTCAAATTTGTAGGCAGGGCAGCTGATTGTGCATAGCAATTTGAACAGTCATGACCAGGTTAAAAGTGTGACAGTGAACAAAATGCCCTTTTTTAACACTGACAGAGGAGGGATCAATATGGTCGGACAGGGATGGACTCTCCTCCAATACAAGGTTATGGGAGAGGTCATGTCTATGGAAGGTAATTTTAGCAATATTGTTGTAGGACTTCAGGCAGCCTCTGGGAGGACCTGAGTAGTACTGTACTGCTACTGCATCATAGTCATCAAAGGCAGGCAAGCAGGTCATTTTCAGTCTGACCAATCCTTGTCAAACAGGGCAATTACTCTGGGAGATGGAAACAATTCCTTTACAAGTATTAAGGAAGGAGTGAGGCTGGGTAGGAATAGATTTGCCAATGAGATCAATCAGGGTACATAATCCACATGCTTGGGACTCGGATGTAACTATTGCAAGGCATGAACCATCAAAACAATGGCAGAAGGAAACTGCTTACTTGTTTTTGGAAACTTGTTGGATGAGGAGGGTATGGTCAATAAGGGGCTGTAAGAGAAATCACAAAGAATCAAACCCACTTGGCTGAGCTAAAAAGAGTACTTATGAGGTTTGTAAGAGGTGGAAGTAGGACAAAGACAGGCGGGAAGAGGGAGTGGTGTGGAGTACTGCAAGAAAAAGGACAAGGATGAAGAGTAGTAATAAGCGAGAGGGGGGGTGGGTAGAAAATAAAGAAAATGTGCAGGAGATGGAGTGTAGAATGTTTGGAGAGAGGAAGGGAAGTATTCTGAAGATTGAGTAATGGCCCGGGTGGATGATTCGGGATTGATCAAGTTGACAGCAAGCATCTAACCCAAGTCAAATGGTTTAGTATTTACATATATGAAGCAAATCAACCTTCTTTACAAGATTTTATCATATCTGTAATATGTTTGTAAATTTCCATACGACTTTGAACAGCTGAATATAATTTACCTTTTTTTTGAATATGCAACATAAACAAGACAAGAAAACAAAATATATATGAATTCGTAAAAGAAAGGAATGTTGCCTAACCATGCATAATTCTGAGGCATACATAGCCACTAGCCTCAACCAGTCATACTCACATAATGTACATAGGAAAATGCAAATAAACATTTTCCCACTTCCTAACACTCAAAATCAAACATAAATCCCAACATACACAAGCACACAAAATCACTCAAAAATGTAACGTATACAAAGATCCACTTTGTCAAAATTACAGGTGTCAAAAGGTAAAGAAAACAATGGTATACAGCATAATCTTTTCCATTCCAGTGTCTGGTTCTTTGTACATTCAGTCCTACATCTGTCTAGAATGTCCTACATACTAATTTCATCACAAGGGCAAATGTATTCCTCAGAATACATTAGACACATATAAACAAAACTAAACCATTAGTTGAAAACATAACAATATGTACTTAGGACTTGGTACAAAATTTCAACATCAAATATAATGGAGTAAAAAATTAAAACATCAATGCCTTGAAAATACAGCTGAATGCGATTTTATATCAACTATTAATTAGCCTGTACAGCAGCTTATGTACATGAGGTATTATATATAATTTAATTTAAAGGGTGGGCAGAGTTAATATACAAAATGCTGGATAAAACCTACGTCTTCGGCTTAAGATAAAAGCCTCATACCCTGCATAAACGATACTAAAATGGAAAAAAAGTGAGAGAAAAAAAAGCAAAGAAAATCCAACAATCAACAGGACTTCCAGCCTATGTCTGTTCTATGATTCTTCCTCTTAAAAAGTCACAAAACTCCCAAAAGAAAGTTTCTGTAAAATGTTCAACTAACTAAAGGTTTTCACTAGAATGGTGGTGATCTCGGAGAAATGGAAATTAACCCCACATGCATCAGCGGCAGTGTTTGAGTGTTTTGTAAATACCTATCCTTTTTTACTGTATCTTTGTCAGTCACCCCTATAACCCTAAAAAAAAAGAAAAAGAAAAAAACAAAACAAAAAAAAAAGGAAAAAAAATAATGATACTAAACCTTAAATCACATTCAAAGATATTTAAGAAAGCAATCTTACACTTTAAAAACTGGTGAAATATGCCAAGTGTCTAAAACTTTCTTTGTCTGTGTAATTAGTTCTTCGGCCTTCACAAAAGCGCCAGTGTCACTGCACACAGCAACCACCTCTCTACTGTGCTGATGGTAAATTATAATGTCATTCAGCTTGAATTTCTAATTGTGTATATTCCAATGGTGGTCAAAGATGATATAAAATAATATCAGTGATAAAGTACTCAATAAATAAACCACCAAAAAGTTAGAATAAATGAAGATGATATACAGTAATAAAAAATGATAAATCACATGGATAATAATGTCATATAATAATATCAATGGTATTCAATAGTAATTATGACATTATTAATACTAACATACAAATATCAATAATAATTACAAGGATATTGACAAAATTAATTACAACAGTAAAAAGAAAATAAGACCTTCATTACTGGCATTCCTAATTTACTCATTACATTTGATGTATAGAATGAACTTGCCTTTGCTTTTTTTTTATAAATACTCCAAGAAAAAATATAAATACTGTGTACTATAAAAAAAGACAAGTAACCATACAGCATCAGTCAAAACTCACTACAAATCACACACTATGATTTTAATAACAAAATAGTGCACTTCTAATCACGAATCAAAAGATCTCAGCCTTTTTTTGGATGCAGTGAATTTTTTACCAGATTTTTTTTTTACTTTCAAAAGTTTGCATCACTTACTGCAGTATTTTAGTCTATCGAATGTGAGGATTGCCAGCCATAAATTTGTGAGGTGATACACAGAGACAAGAGAAAGAATTTTTCATTAGGGCTAGCAAAACAGTTTTATACTCAGTTTGGACGCTCTCCCTGATCAGTGTCACTTGTTGAATCATCACAAGTTCTTCACCACTGTTCATCATTGGAAAAAAAAAGCATCCACAAAAAACATTCACTCTTTCAACAGTTGGAGCATCTTTGACTCTTCCCCTTTTGACAGAAGTTTAGTATTCTTTGGTGTCATTTGGATCCCTCTTAAAGGTTGCACCATATTTGCTCATGTACTTTCGCACAAAGTCCTTGGTTTTATGTTTTACACTCTCACTGCACTCTAGCAGGTCTATGCTCTGGAGCTGCTTCAGTTCCTTCACCATGACAAAGTGGGTCAGCTGTTCATGGAAAAAAGAATGATGATATTAATGGAATGCTGATGCAGCTCTGTACTTGATGCTTATATCAACTATGATTGTTACAAAAGAAAGTCATCACTAATTATAAATGTTAGATCTACCTTTCGAGCCAGGTACTTGAAATCTTCAGTGCAGGTGATTTTGCCCTCCTTGCAGTCACCTCGTCTATATGGGTTCAGCACTGAAACAATGAAAGTTGCCATCCTGGACCTGAAGCTGTCCTTGATCTTCCGTGCAGCTTCACTATTATCTGCAATGGCTGAGGCTGCTCGTTCTTTGCTCTGAAATAAGAGTTGTAAACATGCGGGTTACATTTCACACCATGATGCCAAATATCAACCACTACAATCTAGATGACATGACCATCACATCATAAGAAAATTTGGCTATGGGCTGGGGTGATGCAAAATTGCCATTGTGAGCATTTTGGCTGCAGGAAGGGGTGACAGAAATGCCTTACCAAGAGTGCATAAAAGCTCATGGAGGGTGATTTGACTCATCTAGCATTTAGTAATGGGCTTTTGCATTATTTTCATCAATATATATGTATGGAATGTACTGTCCTTGAGCCGTGACTGGAATTATTTGAATAATGCAAATCATGGCAATTAAGGACATTGTAACTTGGCAAAAATACTAAAAATGCTTATGCAGAAAAAGATTAACGTTACAAAGGGGAGCCATAGAGTTGTGTCACTCCACACGAGTGTTTACATGCACCCAGCCTACGAGCCATGCACCCATGTGATGACAGTGAAGTATTTGGGTCCGATGGGTTAACAAGAAGTTATAATTCAGTAATCAACAAATTTCATATGAAAGAAGACAGACATGAAACTGTTGTCACAGGACAAATAAAGGCCACCAGATATAAAAAAGTTATAATCAATATGCATCTCTCTCTCTCACACACTCTCTCTCTCACACACTTGCACTCGCGCACTCTCGGCACATTCTACCTCACTCGGCATTCACACACTCACTCTCGCATTCACACACTCAC